AGAGATATATATATATGTATATATATATATATATATATATATATATATATATATATATACATATACATATATTTCTCACACAATCACACTACCGGTCAAAAGTTTTTAATGTTTTTGAAACAAGCCTCTTCTGCTCACCAAGGCTGCAGTAATCGTAATATTGAGAAATATTATTTCAATTTGAAATAACGGCTTTCTATGTGAATATATTTTAAATATATTTTATTCCTTTGATGCAAAGCTGAATTTGTATAAATGTAATTGGTGGTGTAAATGTTATTTATTCTGAAGCAATATTTTCAGTCCTCTATATCCATTCTTACTTACTGAAATCAGCATATTTGTGCTATTTGCCCAATTGATTTCCAAGGGTTTTTTTAACCTAAAAAAGGGCAATTTTTTCCTTATCTTATAAAATGTTTGTGTTATCACTAATGAATTTAATTATTAAAATAAGACACTATCAGGCTGTTACCAATCAATTAAAATCAGTATCAACAAAATTCATCTTTCCACTGCAGAAGAAACAGAAGCAGCTGGATTGGCATTTAGATGCATCTACACAGACAGTGTAATGAAGCTCAAATGTACCATGAATGCAATTACATTGCAAAATTACAACTGCATTAATAATGTTATGAGCTTAGTGTTTTAAATCATTTTTAATATCTGTTGCAAATTAGCTTAAAAGGGAAATGTATATAAATAATTTCAATTAATTAAAATTAATTCAAATTATTTATATCAGCTGCCAGTAGTATCTGTAGCAGAATTAACATTACAATCAACTAATCTGTTCATTCAGTGAACATTCAGTGTAGATTCGTATCAACTCTAAGAAATGTTATTTTCATGGCCACAGAAAATATTTTTCTTATAGTACTAATGCATTAGAGCATGTAACAAGATCATGAATCATTTCAGTGGCATTGATTTGCAAGCAGTGACAGAATCAAAAACGTAATTTGAGCACAAAAGCTTTATTAACTAAACACTAACACATAACTAGTCCAACAAACATTTACACACACTCACACATACATACAAAGGGGAGTTAAAGTGGATTAATGAAACTGTTAGAGAAACCAGAGAATGCAGCTCTGGAAAATTAGTCAGTTAACCACTGACCACTGAGTGAAACCATCAGCGCCGTTTTACAATGGTGTCTGTCTACAGCTTATACTAAGCCTCTGTTTCGTTTAGTTAAATGTATGTACGATACTTGCATAGCCTTGGCAATTGAACGTGCGTCCAGATTAGGGGTGTTAATGGTTCTCTGTGAAAAAATCGAACCATACCGTTCTCCACCCACGGTTCGGCACACACTCACACCGCAGTTCAACTTAAATCCGGCTATCGCATCTGTAATATGGCTTGTTAAAAATAACACGTAAAACAGACAGAGTTCGGCTAATGTATGCTTCAGTCGATGGAAACACATCCTGGCTTCCCAATACATTACAACAACAGCAATGAAAAAAAAACATATGGACAATCCAGTCACTCTTTGTAAACTCTGTTCAATGCGAGTGCCGTATGATCGAATATAACCAGTCATTTATGCCGTCATCAGGGTAGGGAAAGTTTTATGACTCTTTGCCTTCGAACATGTTATTTTGCATATGTAACTGGATTGGGTGTTGATGCAAAACTATTAAAGATTCCTAGAACACTTATATGTTGCATAAGTATTAACATTTAATATACACTCCTTTAGTTCATCAAAACACGAATTTGTAGATACCAAACATGGTATAGGTGAGGTTACATTAACTAGTGGTTCTATCATAAGCATGCATAAAACAATATACAATACAAAAGACAATATACAAGAACAGTAATAATACACACAATGGCCTGGGGATATGCATGACAGAAAGGTCAAAGAAAGGTTTGTCTATGAATTAATGAAAGGGGTATTTTTTATAGGCAGTATGTAAGTATTAAGTAAGAGGGAGAATCTTTTAAGATGCCATTAAGTCATAAAGTTTATGTGAGATGGCTAAGGTGGAAGTTGAAAAAATGCAATACTTTTAAATATGAGCGTAAACCACCCGTAGATGGTGGCAAGTGTTAATGAGTGAACATTTGAGTCATTAGTTCAAGCGATTCATTCAGATGACTGATTCATTCAAGAATGAAGCAAGTGCCTGTCTGTCTTTATGAATGGATCACTGAGTCATTGACTCAAATGATTAATTCAAAAACGCTGAGTCATTCAGTAACAAAACACCGCTGTGTGCTGCTCAGAGATTATTGAATGATTATTACACGTTTATTGAATGACTAAAATTAATGTTAAATCTGCAGTCGTGCTGATATTCAGGAAACAGCTTTTTCTTGATCATATTGCTTAACTTGGCTATATTATATGATATATATAAAAACTAAATTTTTACAACAGTATGTTTGTTCTTTGAGTTTCTTTGTGTGTTGTTGTGCTCATGTGTTTTGATTTCTCCACGAGATTCTCTCACAAACAGACAGGCTGCGTGAGCCTCAACTGGTGCGACCTTGGTACTGTCAATACACAGTCATTTACAACGAATGTAATAAAATCAGAATCCTTCTCACTGAAATTACTCAATTGCACTACACAATTTCTTTCTGAATTTACGAAATGTACATTCTCTGATCTTAGTTTTACTCCTCCATGTCCCCACTAGAGGTGAAACTGAGAAAATGTCTTATCACGATTATAGTGACCAAAATTTTCACGGTTATCAGTATTATCACGGTATTGTTAAAATGTGCTGGAAATTTTCCAAATGTACTGACACATAAATCACATAAACTGACACTGACACATAAATTTTATCATGATTTATCGTCAAACTGGAAGTTGTTTCATATAGTCCCCGCCGCTGTCCAAAAATCCCCAGCAATTTCGCACTGACCGGAGGCAATTATAAAACTGGTTCCGCATGTATATCACACTAATGTACAAATTTTGCGACAGCAAATTAAAAAGTTACTAATTATGAAGGCACTATATTCAAAATAAACTGGTAATATTTTTCTACAGAACCATCTTAAAAAAAAAATTTCTGTAGAAATACAATTTAATTACTTTTAATGCTATTTAAGACCTTAATTTTTGCAAAATCCATTTAATGACGTTTAATGCTTTTTAATGCCCCGAGGAAACCCTGCTGATTTATGCTGAAATTGAAATCATGATGAAATTGCAAGCAAAACCTTAATTGTATAACTGAAGGGGTTATTCTTAGGCAAAAGACATAATTTCTCACTCTCTCACAAATCTGTATCAAAATTTGAACCTGCAAGTATGTCTATGGCAACGCTTAATCAGTTGAAATCAACTGACTGTTTAAATGAAAAAAGAAATGTGTGAAATGTGCGGAGATGTGTGTATAATCGAGTATGACTATAAGCTAGCCACAACTCTAGCTCTGACTAAGCAAGACATGACAAACTGTCACTGAGCATCATCACCCAGCGCCTAGCAACGCTGTATCCAAGACAACTGTTTCAATAATGGGCCATTCTGTTCCATCAAAATCCAAAGCATCTAATACATACGTCCAAACTGCAATACACAGTCATAGCTGATGTTAATTAGAGAATATGACTTTGCAGGTTGAAATTCAAAGTATTTAATTCTGTTTAAAACTAATCAGAGGAATTCTTCCAACTGGTTACCAACAAAACATGTTATTTAATAGCACAAAACAAACATGCAAAACACAAATTAATTCCAAATGCACATTCCAAACTCTTCAAGTAAATGAAGGCTTGGAATGGCCGCATTATGCTAATTATACAAGTTACTCACGCCCGTCCGCAGCCTGTAGATTCAGACTGGTTGCTGCCTGTCTGTTGCATCTTTGAACGCTCAATGTGTTCCACATATGTCTGTATCATCTGAAGCAAAAAAAAATCAATGTCAGTGTATATGCTGAATTTTCGAGAAGTGGAGCTTTGTATTTGTAACTTTCGAGTTATTGCTAATAGTGTCCCCACAATTTCCATTATGTTTCCATTCATTTTCCATGCCAAAAATAAATTTATCAAGATCGCAATCACAAAAAGCAATTTTTAGCAGCTCATTTTTTAAAATAACTAGAAAAAAATTATTTCCACTATGGAAATTTCCATGAACTTTCATATTATTTCATACATTTCCATAACTTTTCCTACATTCTTTGCCATCCTTTTCCTCTTGGTTTTCCATTGTCTTGGGAACCCTGTGTTAATCTGAGTTATAAATCTGTGCTGACCTCTGTATGGCGCTGGTGAAGGGCGTTATACTCTTTCTTCATGTCTGATTCTCGTTCTTCCAGACGAGAGACTACAAGAGAGAAACATTACAAATGCATATTGCAAGAAACTCAAATCTCTGTGTCAATGTGTGTGTATGAACAAATGTAGTTAAGTGCACAGACTCACTCTGGTCAGCATAGTTCTTGGCCTTCAGCTCGAGTTGTTTTGTTTGTAGCTCCAAAGTCTCCAACATGGACTGCAACTCCTTCTTGTCTGCCTCCAAGACATCTTCATATTCAATGAACTTCTGTTAACATGCAAACACACATTCACACAAGATCAGATCCTTTATCTTATAACCTGAATTGGATTGATGAATGGATGGATGAACAGACAGACAGACAGACAGACAAGATAGACAAGGTAGATAAGGCAGACAGACAGACAGACAGACAAGATAGACAAGGTAGATAAGGCAGACAGACAGACAAGATAGACAGACAGACAGACAAGGTAGATAAGGCAGACAGACAGACAGACAGACACGATAGACAAGGTAGATAAGGCAGACAGACAGACAGACAGACAAGATAGACAAGGTAGATAAGGCAGACAGACAGACAGACAGACAGACAGACAGACAGACAGACAGACAGACAGACAGACAGACAGACAGACAGACAGACAGACAGACAGACAGACAGACAGACAGACAGACAGACAGACAGATAGATAGATAGATAGATAGATAGATACTGTCACGTTGTGTGTTTATTGTCTTCATGTTTCATCATTCAAAACATTTCTATCTTATTTTTATTCAGTTACAGCGATAGCTGGATGTTTTTGTCCATATTAGCGATTTCCTGAAATGTCATGAGTTCTATTACTTCTGTAACGCATACGTGGGGTTTCTGCGCGAATGTGTACATGTGTTTAGCACTCAATAATGCACACTCAGTCATGTTTTGGGCATGAATAGGAAAAATAATACTTCTCTCTAAAGAAATTTGTGAGTTATATTTGCTCAAGAATGTTTTGAGATCATTCAACATTCTGGGTTTGTTTAATACTCTGTTTGAGTATGAATGCTCAAAACTGTTAATCCACTTTTTAGTTCCACATTTTTTTAATGTTTTATTTTCATGTTCAATATTATTTTAAATAGGACAAGGAAAAGCAAGAGTTAGATATGTAATAAACTGCATTTCTAAATCAGTAAAACTGCAAATATTGTCTTAAATTCTTATGATGCAAACTGTAATTTGTGGCCCTTCGCATTTTATGTGGTTTAAATGTGGCCCCCTTGGCCACTGAACTTGAGTACCCCTGCTACAGAGTGTGTGTATGTATAACTGAACTGACTTTCAATGCAAAATTATCCATAACCACAGTATGAAGCAGAACAGCACAAGGTCAAAAAGCATTTTTGAGAAGGAATTGTTCTTCAAATACAATACAGTCACATTTATACACACAGTTACCCGGGTACATTACACACACACACACACACACTCCAAGTGCAGTGTGTGGTGACTTTGAGCTGCAAGGATTTTAAGTGGAAAACAATAGGCTCTTTCTGCAGTGCGGCCCAGCCACAACCAGCCTCCTGGAATTCAGTAATCCCAGCACTGCAAAGAGAGGGTAAAAAACAAACACACTCTAACACTATTAAACAAATCACACTAGGCTAATTGTGTCATTCTAATGAGTGTTTTGACTTATAAAGTCATTTCTAGAGTACTATATACATCCCATATCAGAAGCATGTCTACATATGGGATTATAGAGCAATTAAATATTACGTAATGCTTTTCATAATGTAATTCCAGACTGATAATTTGAGTTCTTTCTTGCTATACCTTGACATAACAATATTTCTCATTCTGCAGTTTAATCATGAACAGCCAGTAAAGGTGAAGTGTGTATTTTCTACATCACTAGCTACACTGAATGAAATACATAAAAAGAATGAGTGTTTCAAAATAGATCTGTCTGTCTGCAACTGGTTGGCCAATAGTCACCCAAACCTCGCGACATTGAATGAGATTATATTGCAGTGTCAGGCTGGTTGGGATCCCCCCAAAATAATAAACAATGTGCAGAGTCAAAGTTTACACTTTTTGGAGGAAGTAACTTAAAATCTGTTTGCACTTGTCTTGCATATTAAGCAGGGATATAAGATTTTAATATTGAATAAAATTACATGTGACAAGTTGGAGTTGAGCCAAGTGCACCTGTTATGCCACCATACATCAGAAAGATGTGAATGCCTCATGCATGTCATAAATAATCTCTATCAATTAAGCTTTTATACTGTTAGATGTCATTTTTCTAAAGCTAAGTTACAGCTAAAATTCTAAAATGCAAGTTTATTGTAATGATGTTAAATTGATCACTGATTTCTCCCTTGAGGATCAAGCTGTTTGACATTAAGAATATGTGTTCATACATGGATGAGTCTATATGAGAGGAAGACAGCGAGAAATAGTGAGGTGGATGTTCTTACTGTGGCCATTATACTCTACTGCCATAATCCCACAGGATGCGAAACTGGAGAATGCCGTTTACTTCCCCTCTCTCTCCCTCCATCCCTCACTATCTCACTCGCTCTGTGCTCTCTGTCTGTCTCATAACATGAGAATCGGGTTACAGCGTCAGCCAGCCTCCTTCTATGAGAAAATTGATTACCCATAATCATCCTCCCTGCTCATCATCCTCCCACTTTTGTCCTCTGCACCCCAAGCACATATGTCTTTGCATTGCTGCAATAAAACAATAAAAGACCTATCCCTAACACTTAACCATTTTATTTTATTAATTATATTGTTTTAAGCCATAGCCGATTTCTTTCTGCACAGTAGATACAAGCCTGCTACACACAAAATTCCCTACTGGCGTCTATTATTTTTGGAGAGGTGGTTGCAACTGGGAAAATGCACAATAGATTTAAGTGAAATGTTTATTATATAGTTTATAGCAGGGGTACCCAAACTGCGGCCCGCCCCCACATTTGGACCGGCCCTCTGAACAATGCTAGAGACATATTTTGAAAATGTTATTTTATATATATGGTTTCACTTATATCATGTCTGTATTTGATAATAAAGGTTGGCTTTCAGACTAAAATTTCCCTTAGTTATTAACATAGCCTAATTATTTGTTAAATTCACCTATCAACAGAATGGTACGTTCAACATAACGTACCATCGCGATCGAACAGGTGACGCATGAGCCAGCAAAGAGACGACAAAACGGCCAAACAGTTGGGAAAGAGAAAGGTTGATTCAGAATGCAGGGTATTTAACCAAAAGTGGACAAGTGATAATTTTTTTGTTCAGTGCAAAGTGGCTGTTGGTCTCATCTGTCAAGAAACAGTGTCTGTGTTCAAAGAATACAGTCTGCACCGACACTATGAAACCCACCACAGAGAAAAGTATGCTAGCTTGCAAGGCCAAATGAGAGCAGACAAAATGTCAAAGCTGAAAAGTGTACTATCAGCTCAGCAGAATACATTTGTACGCCAAACCCAGCTGAACCAGGTTCGAGCTAGCTTTCAGGTAGCTAAACTGATTGCAACCAGTGGTAGGCCATTCAGTGACTGCGAGTTCGTCAAAAAATGTATGAATGCTGTTGCGGAGGAGGTGTGCCCCGATAAGAAAGATGTCTTAAATGCAGTGAGTCTGTCCACAAGTACAGTCACCAGACGAATTGAAGAAATGGGGGATAATGTATATGCCCAGCTGCAGGAGAAAGTGAAAGAATTTGAATTTTTTGCATTAGCACTGGATGAGAGCAATGACGTGCAGGACACAGCACAGCTGCTAATTTTTCTTCGCGGAGTTAGCTCAAACTTTGAAATGTCAGAGGAGCTAGCAGCCCTAAAAAGTCTAAAATGCACTACGACAGGGGAGGATATTTTTGGTAAAGTGTGCCAAACGATGGGAGAGCTGGGTCTAGACTGGTCTAAGCTGGCCAGCATCACTACTGACGGGGCTCCTAGTATGGTTGGCGCGTCGAGGGGGCTTATAGGACGCATGAATAAAGAAATGGAGGAAAGAGGTCTAACCCCACCGTTACAAGTCCACTGCCTGATTCACCAGCAAGCACTCTGCTGCAAAGTTCTGAAGTGGGAATCAGTCATGAAGGTGGTGGTGTCATGCATAAACTTCATCAGAGCAAACGGACTTAAACACCGGCAGTTCCAAGCCTTTCTCGCCGAGCTAGAGTCTGCTCACGGAGATGTGCTTTACCACACTGAAGTCCGATGGTTAAGCCGGGGCAGAGTTTTGAGGCGTTTTTATGAGCTGCTACCCGAAATCAACGCCTTTCTTCTGACAAAGGGCAAAACTGTCCCAGAACTGATCGACGCAGAATGGAAATGGGACCTCGCCTTTTTAACAGATGTGACAGAAATGTTGAACGGCCTCAACTTGCAGCTCCAAGGCAAGGGGAAACTAATATGTGACATGTATTCCCACATAAAAGCATTTGAGGTGAAACTAGCACTGCTTGTGGGACAAGTGCAAAAGCAAGACTTCACTCATCTCCCCGTTACCCAAAGT